CATAAGCCACGTCATCTTCATGGTATCGGCTAAAACCTGAATATTGGAAGAAAATTATCAAAAAACCGTTAGGAGAAAAAGATTTTCTAGAGAAGCACTTAACCCGCCTATTAAATAAGCTATGTAAACTACAATTCACTTACATGTTTTGAATGAGACATCTTAAAATCCGCTTCGCAAAGTCGACAAACGAGCACTGTTACCGCCCAAGAGGTGTGTCTTGCAGTTGAATCAAACTGATAGCGACCCTCCTTGGTTTGCTAAATTTATATGGTGCCATTCAACCCAAACAGACAATGATCAATTAGAACTCTCATCCTCCGGATAATGTGTATACAAATTTACACCCTTTTCCGACAGTTTCTGTAATCTCTTAAGCTTAGACGTCTGCCCATTTTAACCTTGGGAATTCTTTTGCCAAAAATAGCAACGTTGTCCGTGACCTGTTTTCATAATGAACTGACAAAGCACGAAGGTTCAATATGGCATGAACGGACTCTAAATTTACCCAACAAAAGTTAATGATGTAGTATTAGAAGTATTACAGACTGTTTTTTTTTCGAGCGATTCCAAAGTTCTGGCCTGCAAAACTGATAGAGTAAGTTTCAAGGTTAATAAGTTATGTAACTATAGACTTAAGTTGCCCCTAGGTATCGAAAGATTACGGCTAAAACTTCACGGAGGCACCTTAAAAGTTACATAATATTATGCAATGTAGTATGTATTATATAACAGTAGTCAGGTCAGGTACATATTTTGCCTGCTACTGGTACCCTGTAACCCAGTACTAGCTGCCGCAGAACCACCACTACCTTGTGGTTGCTTTGGGAGAAGTGAAGGCTATGGGAGTAAACCCTTACAGAAAATCCGGAGTAGAGCCACGTAGGCGGCTGGTGGAACAACGTGAAACCTTCCGGCAACTCCTGCAGCTGCGCCGGCACCGACCGTATCGGCTCGTCCTTTCCGTCGGACCCTACTAGCAACGCCGAGAGGGGGATCCTGGCGACTGGGCACACCAGGATTTCCATATCT